TGTGACGGTCATCTTTGTTCTGTTGGGTGTTCCAGAGACAAAGGGCATGACCTTCGACAGATTTCAAAATACTTTCAGTAGAAAATATAGTGAGACTTTGAAGCTTCCGTCAATGTAGATGTCGAGAAGGCTGTTTGTTCGCAGTGAGTATAGTACTGGCACTGAGGTAGTGCTATTTCTCTTCAAGTATGTTCAATATGGCCTGTTCCTCGCTAAGATAGTGTACATATATTCATTCTATAGATCCGTTAACGGGCGACCAAAGGTATTTTTCATATCATAGGGTTGTTCCGATAGACTTCTTGAGATCTACTCCCAGCTTGTCATTGGATAAGTTACAAGGCTACCGAGGTGTTCTTGCTGTGTTATTAAATCAAGTTTTGATGGACGAAGATATCGTCGTTAATGCATGTTTGGTTTATGAGAAGAGTCATCGAGCAGGGGCCGTATGCGGATCCTGATTCATGAATCTGAGTTCATGATTCAACTCACGCTCTGATCCTGATTCAGAATTCAAGTCACACCTTGATTCGAGAGAGCTGATTCAGATTCTTAGCTTAGGAGAAAGAGTCGAGATTTCTGAGTATGAGTACTTGAGACAGAGTCAGATTACATAATCATGAGCAAGATCCTTGATCCTTGATTTTAATCAGCCGCTGAATCCGATTCCTGATCCTTAATCACGATTCAAGATTCAAATCTATACTCAATGGCTGATTCAGAGTTTTTGGCACTGAGACAGAGTATTTCATCAATTCGAGATCAAATCCTCAGGGTTGGGGTTTTTACTCGTGATTCGAGATTAATTCTCAGGAGTCGAGATTGTTTTACTCATGCTCAAGGCTGCTCATTTTCAAGATCGCAATCTCACCTTGAGCATGATCCGGGATCATACTCATGATGCACAAACTCACAGTCTAACACGGGGATTAATCTTGATTCTGTACCGGGGGTCCGGACCCCCGGACCGGGGGCCCCGGTAACAAACCCTGATTCTGATTCTCGACCTCGATTCACGGATTCAGCGCGCGCCACGGTAGACCTTCTCAGCTCCCTGCGAGTAGGTTCTTAGAATGACCGAACCGGGGGATAAAACCTCGGCTTCGACCCAGTGAAAGCACATCCTCCACCAGTTCAGCTGTGAGATTCTACGATACAAGGCGGTGCAAGGAGGTATAACGCACGTAGTACATACAGAATATCAGTGTAACCCTCCCCGGGAATAGAACCCCGGCTTCGAGCACATGAAAGGAGGTATAGCGCATGTAGTACATGCAGCCACACGCTGTGAACGACGCATTCCTTTAGTCAATTAATTGTTCGTAAAAACAATAGATGCCCTTCGTCGATCCTCTTGAGGGATTGTCCGATAACGACACCCGATCACGCTCCCGGTTCTCGAAGGAAGCTCTAGAAGGAAGCTCTAGCGCTGAGCTTCCTCTTAGAACTTCTGAGTCAGAAACCCGGAGTTAGTTGATTGCGAGTGAACATATTGAAAAGTCTGAAGTACGGATGTGTACAAGTGCGACAAAAGATCTTCTTCCGAAATTTTATCATTGTTGTAGCGTTGCATGCATTCGGGGCGAATCTGCCAGGTTCTACCCACGTAGAGTGACGAAATTGAAATTCAGTGACTGAAATTCAGTCACTGAATACAAGTCATCTCCCATGGTGATGGTGCTACGTCAGCTATCTACAAGATCCTTTCAACACCTTTCCCGAGACAACAATGTTTTTCTTGTACGTTGACATTGATCAAGTCCGACATGACATGTCAAGTGCTGCAATACTTTGATCCCACTTCCTCTCCTTTTTTCCCGCTGTTTTGTGATGTCTCATCAAGGGAGTTGCGCTGCCGGATGCTCATTCTGCTTTCGCTCAAGCGTTGCCATTGCTGCTCCTTTTGCTGTAAATCTACTGATTTTGCGGACCATCTACTACCTTTCCCCCAGCGGGTTCTAATATACCAATCCAGCAGGTCTACGATGCCTTTACCTCTCCGACAGCGACTTGTCTAATCTCAATTGTTGCCACGTCTTGCTTGCACGTAACTCTGCCATCAGTGAGCTGCTTCCTGATAATGAATTCTTGTACATGATTTGTAATGATGAGTGATACGCGACACGCAGATGTAGATGTAGCTCGTTAATTAAAAGTTTGAATTGAATCGACTACA